CCGCCATTCAAGTTTAGACTTGCTGCCCGGTAGTTTCAACCCAGTTGATGTGTTTTTCATCAGCCATGTTGAAGGAATAACCAAAAACTGTAATCAAACGTGGCTCTGTGCTTAAAACAAGATTTTACAGTAAATCGGGCGTTCAAGTTTCGGAACGAAATAAAGTGTTGTTTGCTTGTGGCCACCACTTTTTCTGGGAAAATGATGCAGAGCAGAACTGTTCGACCAGTTTTGAAAAACAAAATAAGCCACATATCGACTGGGCTCTTTGAGTGTAGCTTGCTGAACCGGCAGATTAGTGGAGCAGACCGCGAAACGTGATACACGAGCGTGAAGCGCAAATCGAAAAAAAAATCCGATTTTTTTCGACTCGCGCTTCGCGCTAGATTGCGTGGCAGGCCGNCCGCCATTCAAGTTTAGACTTGCTGCCCGGTAGTTTCAACCCAGTTGATGTGTTTTTCATCAGCCATGTTCAAGGAATAACCAAAAACTGTAATGAAGCGTGGCTCTGTGCTTCAGACAAGATTTTACAGTAAATCGGGCGTTCAAGTTTCGGAACGAAATAAAGTGTTGCTTGTTTGAGGCCACCATTTTTTCTGGGAAAATGATGCAGAGCAGAACTGGTCGACCAGTTTTGAAAAACAAAATAAACCACGTATCGATCTCCTAATTTTGGTTACGCGATCTTAAAACTCCTTGACTGGGCTCTTTGAGTGTAGCCTTCTGAACCGGCAGATTAGTGGAGCAGACCGCGAAACGTGATACACGAGCGTGAAGCGCAAATCGAAAAAAAAATCCGATTTTTTTCGACTCGCGCTTCGCGCTAGATTGCGTGGCAGGCCGTAGAAGGGGAAGGAAAGGGTCAAATCGGACGCCTGCCACGCAGGCTACGCTTCGCGTAAGTGGTCGCGCTCCACGCTCATGTATCGCTTTTCGCTCTCTGCCCTGCTAATCCGCCTCTTCTGCACAATGCACTGAGTGGGCGCAGTCGGAAATAAAGTTAATCCCGTTGGAGGACGCGGCTAGACTGAACGGAAACAATGGATTTTTGCCAAAGTTCATCCAAGATT